TGTGTCCTGCAGCCTGCCCCGGTTTTTCTGTCACTCTGGGAGTTCTTGTTTAGCCTTTCTATGTGAATTGTTAGATTTGCCCTTCCCAGCTGTGCCGTTTGACTCTCCTGTTCTTGAAATTTCCTTCCCAGGCTCTCAGCCAGGGTTGGCCAGTGGGAGCATTGGCAGGAGACTAGGCAGAGGGAGGAGGAAGAACCAGGCCCTCTTTTGTGCTCTGCTTTGGTAGGAGTTTTACAATAATGGCCATGTCTCCTGTGGACCCAGTTCTTGCTGGGTGGCCCCTGATGTAGTTCTGGCTCCTGTGCATTGTCCCTCTTTCTGGACTCTGGTGTGGTGGCACCTTCCTGCTGTGCCCACCTTGCTATTTGCTCCTTAGAGCACTATCACTGGTGTATCCCATTGTGTACATGAAGTCTTTCTGGGTGCAATAATTTAGAGTGTCTCTGGGGTTCTGATGGGACCCTAATAGGTCCCCCAACTAAAAGCAGTTTATCAAGGGCAGTGACTGCGTTACGGCACTATAGTATCCCCAAACGTTGCTCAGATCTCTTGGTAGTAACCCCCTTAGGGTTCCCAGGGTACCCTGTATTCCTTCATCATTGTATTTTCATTGTCTCTATGTCCCTGAAAAACATACATGTCTGTACTTAGAACACACCAGCCATCAGAAGCTCTAGGGTAAGACATGTCATTAGCACAATATCCAGTGTAGTGAACATTCAGTTAGTATTTATGGCAAAAATGTGAACAGATTGTTGGTAACTGGACACATTCATATAAAAACCATTCAGTTAGCACACTCCAGTGCTAAACCTGACAGTTATGACTGCTAATTAAAGCTCGTTGTACCCAGCCTTGTTATGAATTCCTTCCATCTGTTAGCACCTGTAGTCCTCAGAGCAATGACATGTAGGTACTAGTATCCCATTATCTGGATGAGGAACCTGAGGCACAGAGAGATTTAACTAGTGGCTAACTGGACCAGGAGGCAGATTGGCTCAGAGTCTTCACTGAGCCTGTCAGCTACACAGCGCACAAGGAACTGTCATCTTCAGGTGAAGTGGACGTGGAACTTCCAAGTAAATACAAGCACTTGGACTTCGGATGTTAAGGGCGTGTCCAGGGTCCTGGGTGGGTGGGGTTAGACAGCTGTCAGAAAACCAGAGGAGAACCATATTCTCTTCCCCAGTGCCAAAGAAAAGCAGCCGATAAATCTCATCTCTGCTGATTTTTAAAAATCACAAACCTTAATCAGCTAGGAACCAAAAACATTTCCCTAATAATGGAGAGCAAGTCAGGCTGACTATCATTGGGGATATGTGTTCATATTACAGTCTGGAGAAGAGGCAGTCAAACCAACAGTGCAATAATATTGGACACTTTTATAGATAATTTAGAGAAAAACGGAATAAATAGAAAGGAAGAAGTGATTATCAGTGACAATGATTGAATCAAATAAGTAGAAGTAAGGATAAATAGGTAGCTAATGGTATAATGAATATTTGCGTGTGTCACATTAGTAACTTTCCTATTAATCAGAAAATAATAATGAAAAAGATCTCATAATGGCAATAAAAGTAATAAAGCATCTTGGGATCACCAGTGACAAATATATACTGGGCCTGGATGAAGTCCTGCTTAAGGCCTACCGTGTACTTTGGATAGAAACACTAAGTTCTTACTCATTTACATCTTTGTTCAGTTCCTTTAAAATCCCGAAGAAACTTGAAAAAAACAGCCTTGTCAGTTTTAAGTTCATCTGGAAGAAGAATTTAGTGAGAATCTCCATGTAGGCTTTGAAAAAGAGAAACAGTGAGGTGGGGAGAGCACTGTGTTGTGATCTAGGCACAGTTGAGGAATGTTGGTCATGAAAGCCTGGCTGGTGCCCTGGAGGGGAGCTGCTCAGCAGGACAAATGGGGACAGCTGGAGCGTGGCATGCAAGTCATTAAGCAAAAGACTAGTGTTCGGTAAATGGTTCTGATAACATGGTTTGCTCATTGGAAAAAATAAAGGTGCACTTTTTGTGCCCTTTTTCCTGTAGCTCCACCACCCAGAGAAAATAACTTTCAGTGTTTTGATGTTAAACATTTTCCTATATGTATAAACACATCTATTAATTTTGAAGAAATGTCATGTGCATGTTTTTATCTGCTTTTTACTATTAATATGAAAATTTTTTATTGTAACTTTTTTATAGTAGATCTCCCTCCCCTTTTATTAAATTTATTGGGGTGACACTGGTTAACAAAATGATACAGGTTTCTGGTGCACAATTCTACAACACATCATCTGTACACTGTATTATGTGTTCACCACAAGTCAAGTTTCTGTTCATCACCATTAATCCCTCCTATACCCTCCTCCACCTCCTTCCACCCCCAACTCTCTCCACCCCTTGCCCGCAATCATCACACTGTTGTACATGTTCATGAGCTCTTTTTTTCTTGCTCAATCCCTTCACCTTCCCCTCACCCAGCACCCCACCCCCGACAGCTGTCAGCCTGCTCTCTGAGTCTCTGTTTTGCTTCATTTTGTTCATTAGATTCCACATGAGTGAAATCATATGATATTTATCTTTGGCTGGCTGGCTTATTTCACTTAGCATAATGCTCTCCAGGTCCATCCATGCCGTCACAAAGGGTAAAATTTCCTTCTTTTTATGGCCGAGTAGTATTCCATTGTGTAAATGTGCCACAGCCGTTTTATCCACTCATCTACTGACAGAGACTTGGACTGCTTCCAGATCTTGGCTTTTGTAAATAGTGCTGCAGTGAACATAGGGGTGCATATATCCTTTCGAATTAGTGTTTCTGGTTTTTCAGATATTCTCAGCAGTGGAATTGCTGGGTCATGAGGCATTTCCATTTTTAATTTTTTGAGGAAACTCCATACTGTTTTCCATAGTGGCTGCTCCAGTCTGCATTCCCACCAACAGTGCACGAGGGTTCCCTTTTCTCCACATCCTTGCCAGTATTTTTTTGTTTGTGGATTTATTGATAATAGCCAACCTAACAGGTGTGAGGTGATATTTCATTATGGTTTTAACTTACATTTCTCTGATGATAAGTGATGTTGAGCGTCTTTTCATATGTTTATTGGCCATCTGTATGTCCTCTTAGAAGTGCTACTCAGGTCCTTTGCCCCCTTTTTTTAAAAAATCTATCTTTATTGATTTCAGTGAGAACAAGGGAGAGGGGGAGAGAGAGAGAGAGAGAAACATCAATGATGAGAGAGTCATTGATCAGCTGTCTCGTGCAAGCCCCCCACTGGGGATCTAGCCTACAATCCGGGCATGTGCCCTGACTGGGAATCAAACCGTGATCTCCTGGCTCATAGGTTGGCGCCCAACCGCTGAGCCACGCCTGGCCGGACCTTTTCCCGTTTTTAATTGGATTTTGTTTTGGGTGTTGTTTTATAAGTACTTTATAAACTTTGGATATTATGGCCTTATCAGATGTATCGGCAAATATGTTCTCCCATTCATTGTATTTTCATTTTGTTGATGGTTTCCTTTGCTGAGCAAAACCTTTTTAGTTTGATGTATTCCCATTTGTTTATTTTTTCTTTTATTTCCCTTGCTCAAGGAGAAATATCAGAAAAAATAGTGCTATGAGAAATGTCTGAGATTTTACTGCCTGTGTTTTCTAGGATTTTTATGGTTTCAAGTCTAACATTTAAATCTTTAATCTATTTTGAGTTTATTCTTAATGTATGGTGTAAGAAGGTGGTCGAGGTTCATTGTTTTTTGCATGTATCTGTCCAATATTCTCAACATCATTTATCGAATAGACTATCTTTAGCCCATTGTGTGTTTTTCCCTCCTTTGTCAAATACTAATTAACTGTAGCCTTGTTGGTGTGGCTCAGTGGTTGATAGTCAACCCACGAACCTGGAGATCACGGTTCAATTCCCCATCGGGGCAAATGCCTGGGTTTCGGGCTTGATCCCCAGTGGGGGGCATGCAGGAGGCAGCCCATCGATGTTTCTCTCATTGATGTTTCTCTCTTCTTGTCTCTTCCTCTCTTTCTAAAATAAAAAATAAACGTAAAAAACCACCACCAAACAATTTTCCAGAGCACCAAACCCAGGACACTTCAGAAGGCTGGTTTTAGGGAATCATCCATCTTGTGTAGATTAATACGAGGCACTGTTGCCAGCTTGCCCTTTTCATGCAGAGATTTTTTTTTTTAAATGGTGGATGTTGAGATATTCTGAATGGAGAGATATTGTATAGGGAGTCATGGGGTTTATCACATATTTACTTGTTTAGTCCTTCCAAAACTTTAAGGCAGGGACTATTGGTCCCATTTTACAGATAGAGAACACTGAGGCTAGAGCTTAGGTTACTTGTTCAAGGTCAGGTAGCAGACTCAATTGTGGAGCCAGGCTTTGAATCTAGGACATTGGTTTCTGCCTCTGGGATTTCCTGCTGCTCACAGACTGTGTGAGTGTTAGAAAAACCTTTCTGAATGTCAGGATTTTTCTTTCTTTATGCTTAATTTTTTAAAAAGTCTATATTTATGAAACCAATGAAGTGATGATTTTTGTAAAGGAAACTGGACCAAAATGGCCTGAAGGATATGGCAGCCATTTAGCATGTGCTGAAGGTGCCCAAGGGTGGGTTCGATGACCTGTTTTCTTTCCTCTTCCTTTTCCGTGATTCTGCTGCTCCAAGTGGTTGGTTTTGCTCAGTAGTCCTAGAGATACCCTGCATACCTGGAGCTATTGGAGTTGGAGGGTGAGGAAGAGTCGCCGCCTTTAAGAAGTGGGCAACTGGGGTCTGATTGTTGTCTGTCCAAGAGACATATATGATAAGTTTGTTAATCTTTCTCCTGTTTTCTTCACCTCTTACCTCGTGACAGTCCCTGTTCAGTAATTTTAATTCTGTAGGGCTGTGCAGTGACAGGTAATAAGCTGTCTCCCCCAGAGTGTGGCCTCTGTGGAGGCAGGGGCCTGAACAGCACAATGTACAGTGCATTGTTGGTTTGTTTCATTTTAGGAGCCTCAGGGTCTTCTCAGAGAAAAATGAAAGGTGGCAAAGTCAGTCCTACTCACTTGTATGCAAGCCAGAGCGGTTGGTTGTGTGGGAACCTTGTGGTGCCCGGCGGAGGTCTGCCAGGACCAGCTCCAGCAGCTGGGGTGCAGTGTGTTCAGGTCCAGTTACTGCAGGTAAGAGCCATGGAGCTGGGAGGAGACAGGCCACAGAAGTGTCTGGGTGAGAGTCCTTATGTCTCTGAGTGCTCCTTCCTCTCAGTGAACGGCCCTTCCACCACCGTTCCAAGTCCTGTTTTATATCTTAAATGATCTCTCCATGACCCTAGCTTTTCCCTTTGTTCCATCCATCAAGCTACATTTGTTCAATCCTTTATCTTCATTAAGATTGACACATCAGTGTCCAAATTCTCTTTGTGTGGCTGCCCCCCCCCGCCATTTAGTCTGTCTGCTGTACCTCACTGGGAGTCCTTTGCTCCATTCCAAGGTTCTCTGTAGCTATCTTGCAGCTGTTTGGGCTGCCTGAGGCTGGCCACAGACAGGCAGCACTACAACCCTGTGGATGTTTTGTGGCTCCTGGCTCCTCACACTGCCTGTCCCTCCCCAGACCCTACTTCTCTTTTCAGGGCTGGGATGAAGGGGCTTACTTACTCAGGCAGCATTGGTCACCCCCATCTCTGGGGACTGCTAGTAGCACACCAGAGGATGTAGCCTTTATTTATTAAAGGTGATAGCTTTTTATTTTTTTTCTTTTCCTGTTTTCTTTATCAAACTGAGCCCCTCAAGGGCAGGGCCAGCTGCCTATTAGACTGTGCCCAGGGCCCAGCAGACTCTGCAGCCGGCAGCCATTCCACGAACGCTCACTAAACATATTCACCTCTACACCTCTGTGTATACCTTTATTTCCAGTCTCACTTTTGAGCCGCCAGAATAGAGAAGTAAGGTAATTTGGGTTTTAGGATAGAAGAGATTTAAAAGCTGAGGATATACTCCTCTGACCTAACCGGATCACATGCTTCCTCTTCACTGAGCAGTGTTCTGTGTCCTGGGTACTCTAGGGCCAAAGAGCACCATGTGGCTGGGGAGGCACCATTAGAGATACCATAGAACATCCGAGTCCTGCACTGATCTGGAAGAGGGAGGAGGGTGGTCCTGTCGTGGGGTCTGTAGTCCTGGGAGAGGCTCATGAAGGAGATAGAACCACGTTGGCTGTGGAGAGTCTGTAGGGTTTAGATAGGTGAGAGAGATGCAGAAATGGCCTGGGCAGAGCCCAGGGAGCACCTGGAAGATGGGCCCGGTGGATGGCCATGCTGTTGTAGCAAACCAGAAGCTGATGTGAGGATTTTTTGGGGGTGGGACTTGCCTGCAGAGAAATGAAAGATTTTCCCAAGATAGAGGTAGTGGAGGTTGTGGTGGGGGACTGGCCCAAGCCTTCTGAACATGATCAAAGCCAGCAGGTCAGAAGTGAAGAAGGCAGGACCCAAGGTTCTGAAGTGGAGACTGCAGGGAAGCCGGTACCACTGGCAGAACAGGAGCTAGTTGGAAAAGCAGCAGCAGCTATTTTTCTAAGGAACACCCAATTAAACATGTCTACCCTGAGGTAGAGAAACCTGGTTTTAATCTCTTACTGTTCCCTTACCAGTCAGTGTAGTCTTGGGCAAGTTACTTAAGCACTCCGGGCCTCCGTTTTAATCACATATAAAATGGGAATGATAGTGCTCAGTGCTTGACATGTAAGGTTCTTGAGGCTGTGGAAGGAATGAGTTGCTGATGGTGGCAGTGGCACCAGGATTTGAGTGGTGGGGGTTGTGGGTGGCCATGGGCTGGACATGCAGATGAAAGGTGAAATGTTAAACAGTGTCCCTTTTCTGAATTGGATGATTAAGGGCCTGGTAGCCCCCTCTTGGAAAGACCTTTCATCTCTCTAGTCCCATCTTGACTGAGGGCTGGGTTCAGGGCAGGGATGAGCCTGCCTGTGTGGTCTGAGAAGGCTGCTGGAGAGCAGTGAGGACTCTCAGGGAGGGATACCGGAGTCTCCGTCAGAGTTTAGGAACAACCCACACGAGAGGAATTGGCACTTGGACTGGGGGGAGGTATTTGAGTGTGGGAGAATACAGGAAAGTTCCAGAAGAAGGGCTTGGGAGGGAGGAGCAGCCAGACTGCAGGTGTTTCAGGCCCAGCTTAGCCCACTGGGCCTCAGGCTGGGATCAGGGTGAGAGAATGAGGACCAGAAGGAGGTGCAAGCAGCTCCCAGCCCCTGAAGCCACTTACTGCAGTCCAGGTGGTGCCCTGCCTGGAATACAGTGGTTGGGACCAGTTCTACTGCGTGTCGTATCACACTGACAGACCTCCTTAGGCTGAGGTAAGGAATGCTGTCGTCGGGTTAATAAAACGTGTGCTGTTGCCTCCCCAGGACGGCCCCTCAGGTGAAGGAGTCTTGCCATTGGTGCTCAGCCCACAGCCTTCCGCCTCCCACCCCCTGTTCGCCATTGGTTTGCCTGTCTATGTCCTCCAGGTCTGTCTTCACAAGTCTTTGGGTTTGTTAGTAAGACTCAGGAAGTGACCGGCTTCTGAGGCTGGTCACTGAGGTACGCCTTGGGTGGAGAGTCACTGGGTTGGTTGCCTGGATGTTTGCTGCTTTGTGGGAAAGGTGGGTAAATGGCCACGAAATAAAAGGCTAAGACTAAAGCTCAAATTTGCTGTCATTGTAGCTCCTACTTGTAAATAAGGTGAAAATACTCTTTAAAATATTTTATACATATAAATTCTAGTCACTTTCTCCTGTGGGAAGGTAGTTTTAACCTGTGGGAAAACAGACCCAGACAAATAACTTAAGTGGTTAAGCTGGGTATAGGTGGCTGTGGATAATTCAGATTTTGATAGAAAATAATGAAAGTATCTAGCTTATTAAGTTTCTAACAGGCTTAAATATATATATTTTAAAACCCATACAAATAGTAATTTTAGTTTTCTTTATTCAAATTGGGCTATTAAACATTTTCCTTAATGTCAAAGATAAATATTGACTAAAGCGCTGGTATGAGGTGGACGAGCAGGTGGGAGCTCCCAGACTGCTGGGTGGGGGTAAATTGGAGGGCGGTTTGGTGCCAAGTACCCAGAAAGCCTGACTAGTGTCTGCTACATTTGCCTGGTGATCCCACTCATGAGATCTCTCCTAAAGAATCAGGTAGGATACAAATAGCCAAAAGTTGGTCATCATGGCCTCCAATCTAATGATGTAGGAACATTTCTCTAGCAGGAAGAGGTGAATTAGATGGGTGGTGATGGTGCAACTGGAGGCCTGGCCAGGCAGTGATAACGCAGATGGACACTTAGTAACTGGGAAAGGTGTTTCCCACATGGGG